CCTCTTGGGAATCTCTTGGTGCCTCCTGGGAGCCTCCTGGGAGTCTCTGAAGGCATGTGGGGGGCGCCTCGAGAGCCTTCGCGAGAACCCTGGAGCCATCTTGAGGCAAAGCGCTCGAAAGGCTTGGGCAGGTTCTCTCTTTTGGCTCTCTCTTGGCGCGCACGCCGATGGTCTTAGCTTTGTGGATGCCATGACAATGGACACCCTAACATTCCTATCATTGAATTAAACATGTGCTAAAAATGTCGGAAAATGTTCTAAACATGTCTTGAACTTGCATGTTCGCACATTTAAAACATGGTAAACACATCTTTTAGACATCTGGAGACTATTTGGCAGCATGCTTACTCTCCAGTGATCGTTCCTCCACAAATCTTAGCTGGGCTGGACAGGTAAACTCAGGGGATCTCCACTTCTGACGGCCATGTTCCCTGGGCAGCCGAGCGGGCACGCAGGCGGCCCAGCTGGAGAGTTGCAGGGCAGCGCCCGAGAGTTGAGCACGACTCCCGAAAAACATTTGGAATGTGATCCCGAAGTCTTGATGGGTCCCGAGGTTTAAAAAGAAAAAAAAACTCATGTAAGAAAGAAGCACTGGAAGTTGTTTTTGTTTGTCAGGTCGGGCCACCGATTACGCAACGCGCAGGAATCGGGGGGGGGCCCAAGAGGCTCGCTTGGGGGGCTCTTGGGGGGCAGGTTTGGACCTCTCCGGGGCTGTTTGGGGGGCCTCGTGGGGCCTTTTAGAGGGCCTCTCTGGGGTTTGTTGGGGGCCTTTGGGGGGTCCTGGAGACCTCTCGGGGGTCCTGAAGGCGTCCTGATCCAGCTCTCGGGCCAATCTTGGGCCTGTCCTGGGGCGCTCTTGGACCGTCTTTGGCGCCTATTGGGCAGTCTTGGGGCTCTCTGGGGCCATCTTGGGCTCTCTTGGGGGCTTATTCGGCCGTCTTGGTGCGGTCCTGGGGGCCTCTTCGGCTGTGTTGGTGCGTTGGCAGCTCGAAAACGAAAGAAGGCCAAAATCCGATTTCGAAAAACGATGCAAATCAGCGATTTGGGGCTCTTCGGACCCTCTCGGGACGCCTCCCGGAGCTCTCCTCTCTTGGGGCCTCTCGGAGGGCTCCTCGTTACCTCTTCGGCGCTCCTGGAAGCCTGGAGAGCCGTCGGAAGGCGTTCGTGCGGGTTGTTTGTGCTCTGGGAGCGTCTTGGGCCGTCCGGCGGCGTTCGGGGGCCCCTCGGGGGCGCCCAGGGTCGCGGCGCCGGGAGTGTACCCTGGATATGCGGATGCCACGACAGTCCTATCATCGAATTAAGCATGTACTTAAAATGTCGGGAAAATCTTCTAAACATGTTGTAAACATGTTTTTCAATGTATAAAATATGCTTAACATGGTTTAGACATCTGGACATTATTCGGCAACATGATTCCTCTCCATTGATCGTCCTCCACGGCCCTAGATGATCTGGAGATGTGGGACGCTCCCAGGGGGGGGGGCGGCCGATCTTGGGCCATCTTCGGCCTCTGGAAGTCGTTTCTGCGCCCCGGGGCTGTGAAAAAAACAACTCGGGAAGAGACACTGGTCCTGGGGAACTTGCCTAGAACTCCGGGGGGCGCCCGACGCATCGCAAAAGTTGGAGCGCCAGATGTCTGGGGCGTCCGGAACGACAGATCGGTCAGAGTGGAACAATGCAGGGACACTCTACCAGCCTGGAACACATCCCTATCCCTAAGCTGGGCACCTCCTCATCACAATGCCAAGCTTAGGGATTCTCCCAGTTTTTGAGGGCGGATCCCTAAGACTGTCATCGCCTTTTGGCGTGTCAATCTTAGGGATAGGGATATAGGGATACGTTCGAGGCTGGTGGACACTGGCTGCGCTCACCCTCGGACGTCAGCGGCGGGGCCTCCTCCGCTCGACACGAGGCGACCCCACGGCCCACCGCTCTGTTCCGGGAGGCCCGCCTCCGACGTCCGCCCTCCCTCCGCTCTCCCTGGTAGGAAGGCACCAACTATACACCAACACCGATCCTGGCCAGGATCGGTGTTGGTGTATAGTTGGTGCCCTCCGACCTGGGCAATTGTGGCCCCGCCCCGGATCCCGGCCCTTGGAAGTCCTCGGAGGCCCCGGAGGTCCCTGGAGACTTGAAACGGAAACGGAAACGGCTCGCCTGTGCGGGCATGGGGCGGGGCCCCTGAAGGGCGAGGCGGGTGAGGCCATGGCCTCGCATGAGAAGCTGCGCGCGTCGGGGGTCTACTCATGACAATGTGTACTTCAGGAGGTGATCTCCCGACAGTCCCCACTCTCCGTTTCCGGGTCCCTGGAGACTTGAAAGCAGCGGTAAACGTGCAAAAACTGGCCGAAAACGCTTGAAAAGCCTTCAAAACTCGTCCTCCTGCAGGCCTACAAAAGCCTTGCAAAACGCCTGAAAAGCCTTCAGAAGGAGATTTGGAACCCTCGAAGGCTTCCTTGGGCCTTTCGTTGGCCGGTGACGGGGGCCTTCTTGGAGGTCTTTCGGGTCCTCTTGGGGGGCTCTTAGTGCCTCCTGGGAGCCTCCCGGGAGTCTCCGCAAGCATCTGGGGGACGCCTCGAGAACCTCTGGCACAACCGTGGGGCCACCTTGAGGCAAACCGCTCGTAAGGCTTTGGGAGGTCCCCTCTTCTGTCTCTTTCTTGGCGCGCGCGCTGACGTTCAAGCTAGGCTGGACAGGTGAACGCATGAGAGCTCGACTTTTACGATGGTTTCAGGGGCAGCCAAGAAGACACGACGACGACCCAAGAGAGTACCAAGACAGCGTCAGACAGTTCAACAGCATTCCCGAAAAATCTGTGCAATGCGACCCCGACGTCTTGATGGGGCTCGGGATGAACTTGAACAAAGAGAAGATCACTGGATTTCCTTGTTTGTTCAAGTGGGGCCTCCTTACATGTAGTGCGCAGGAATCTTGAGTGGCCTAAGAGGCGTGCAGGGGGCTCTTGGGAGGCAATTTGGAGGCCGCTGGGGGGCTATGTGGGGGCCTCTTGGGGCCACTTTTAGGCCTCTTCGGGGCTCTTGGGGGCCTCTTCAGGCTCTTTGGGGGACTCTTGATGCCTCCTGGGCGCCTCTTGGAGCGGAAAGCCGGGATTGCCGATTTGCGCTCCCCCTGTTGGGCAACTTTTCGGACCATCTTGGGGCTCTCTTGGGCTGCCTCGGCGCGCTCTTGGGCCGTCTTGAAGCCTTCTCAGCCCGTCTTGGAGTCGTCTTGGAGCCGTCTTGGGTGCTTGGGCGGTCTTGGGGCGGTCTTGGGGACATCTTCGGCCGTCTTGGAGCGGTGGAACTCGAAAATGCGAGAAGGTTAAAACCCTAAAAATTGAGTAAACTTAAAAACATATAAATCATGGAAAAAACCTCTTTGGGCGCTTCTGAGACGCCTCTCGGAGCTCTCGTGGGGCCTCTTGGAGGCCTCCTGAGAGCCTGGAGAGCCGTCGAAGTCTGTATTGGGCTGCTTGGGAGCGTCTTGGGCCGTCCTTTCGCGTTCTGGGGGCTTCTTGGGGGCGTCTTGGGCAGTCCTGGGGTGGGGCCTCCCTGGGAGGCCCGGGGGCGCGGTACCGGTAGCTGCCCCCAGATGTTCTGGAGGTGTGGGGCGCTCCCGCGGGGGGTGTATTTGTTTGTACTAGATGTCATATAATAAATTAATTCGGATCCAAATGCTAAAAAATTGGGCGCGCCCCATGTCCGGAGCTCTTCTCCGACCCGTCCTGGCCCGCCGTGAATCTGCATGTGACAGCACTATTGAGGCCAAACTTGCTATTGAGCTATTCATAGACGGGCCTCGGGAAATGTGGACTGCAACCGCGAGATGTGAGGACGACCTTTCTTACAAGCCAACCATTGTTTGTGCCATCGATGCCTGGATGAGATCGCGTCCGCTGTGTACGGGTCCGCGGTCGAATCGTCGCCAAAGGGGAACATGACAACCAACGCGGATATTGAAATTCAGCAGATCGTTGGATTTGTAGATTTCGCTCCTGGCGAGTAGGATCGACATTCATTTCTTCCAGCCGGACTCTGTAATCTCAAGCACGTGCGATTCCTCAGACCTGACGAAAACAAGCTTCCCACAGCTCACATGGCGCCCCACAAATATTGCGAAACGGCTGATTCAGAATTTCCGATGCTGGAGATATCGATGGCGACAGCTCCGCCTATCGGAAAGCACGATACGAACAACATGAGCGGGTTCGATGATTGAGTTGTTGCGAACGGGGCACGATACAGTGCACATCAGGCGCGCTTGGAATAAGATCCGAATCAAATCAGCCTCCACGTCGTCTCTGCCCCCATGTCACCCAACTTGAGAACATCGGCCATGTTCTGAGAAGACTGAGAACGATGTTCAGAGTCAACTTCTAGTGTCATGAGGTGTCCCACCCTGTTGTGCCGTTCTGCTTTCCATCTCTCGCATCCCTTCTCCCTTGCGTCGCCCTCCCCTTCGCACTCGTATGTGCTCAAGTGCTTATTTGGCAAATGCGTCTTGTGATGGACTCTGGGCCATAGCAGCAGCAGGCGTTCACGACTGAAGTGCCACAGCCTATCAAGTGCACCCGGAGAAAAATGATTACAAACAGTGGTGGTGTCATACAACGCTCACACATGTGTGACGCTGTAGCGCTTCTACATGAGGGAGGGGAAGGAGGAGGAGCAGGAGGAGGGGGAAGGAGGGGAGTAGCAGGAGAAGAAGAAGAAGAAGAAGAAGAAGAAATGCGAGGAGGCGGGGGACGACGACGACTGGCAGGAAGTGGAAAAGGCAGGAGGGAGGGGGGGGAGAAGGAAGAGGGGGATGGAGGGAGAGGAGGAGCAGGAGGAGGAAGGAGAAGGAGCGGCAAGGAGGAGGGAGGAGGGAAAAGAGGAATGAGGGGGGTCTCGGAGGAATGCAAGAACAACAACGAGGGGGAACAGGAGGAAAGCGTGAGGACAGGCAAGAAAGAGACGCACGAATACCACGACGATGGGTAGGAGAGGGGAGAAGGGAAGGGCACTTCAGGTGCTCGTCGATCTCCATGACCGCGGCCTGGTTCCCGCACCGGTAGCAGTAGTTGGGCGCGGAGAAGATGGTCACGGTGTTGCGGTCGTGGCCCCAGCTATACCCCTCCATGACGAGCTGGTGCGCACGGGCGATGAGCTTGAGCCCGTTGGCGTGATTGAACTGCTCCGAGATGTCCTGCCCGAACGTGTAGCCGGCACCGCGCGGAGAGATGCCCCAACCGCACCTTTTGGCACGGTTTGGCCTCTGCTCCCCCCCTCACCCCCAGCCACCCCCCTCCATCACTCCTTTTGCGAGGCGGGAATTTATCCATATCCACCGCCTGGGAACCGACGTCCTGGTGCCCCAGTGGGCGGTGGATCTGGATATGTTTTGGCCCCCGAGGGCCCGAATGTATCCATATCCACCGACTGTGAAGTCCGCGAGGATCGATCCCCCAGGCGGTGGATATGGGTAAATCCCCGCCTCGGACCTTCGACCTCCTCCATCCCGCCTCCCTCCTCTCGGGGGCGCGCAAATATGGATTAGCGATCCATGGATTTGGTGCGCGGTCGCCAAATCCATGGATCGGGGGAGGTGCCCTCCCCAAAATGCGGCCTGTGCCGCCTCGCTCGGCGGCGGAAATCCGCGAATTCCCATGGAAACGGGACCCGTCGCTAACCCACGCCCCCTTAATCCATGTTTGCGATCGCCTGATCCTCCGTCGTCGCCCTATCGCTTCCAAAAATCAGCCAGCCACACCTGTCGTCAGGATCCGACCAGAGCAGGTCGCACATGGGCCCCTCGTGGGGCACCTCCTGAATTCGGTCGAGCTGCCGGATGTTGTCCAGAGAGTCAAGCGAGGGCGATAATCCTCCGTGCATGCAAATCCGCTGGCCCCTCTTGTGGGCGGGCATCATAAAAGGGCCCAGGGACACACAAATAAATAGACAAAAAACCAAGGATTCCCCATAATTCCCCATATCTTCTGGGTTTCCGTCTTCCCCTCCACTTCCCATATTTTCCAACATTTTTCTGGGAGTCGACGATTAACTGTGTCTGTGTGCAGCCCATCGGCCACCCAACTACAGTGGGGGCCGATCCACAGGAAACCTTACACAAGAAACCCAACCCTGACACCCCAGGACGTCCAGTGATTTTTGGTGTGGGAATGTCACGCTTTCCATCGCAAAACCATCAAAACCCGAGAAACCCAGGGCACCCTAGAGGCAAGCAGGGTGTTTCTTGGCATGGACCTCCACTGTATCGGCGGCGAGGAAGGCCTTCTCAGAAGGCGGCGGGACTTCTCAGAAGCCCTCGCGCCTTCTGACAAGTTGTTGTTCCTGTCTTCGGGGAAGACTCAGAAAACGTCTCAGAAGGCGGGGGAACTTCCGAACCTTCTGAGAAGGCCTTCTCCTTCTCACTTCCCTCCCTCGCTCGCCATCGAAAGTAGAATAGCTAACCTGCCAATCGCCCATCCAGACAGCCAGCCAACCAGCCACCAGACAACCAGCCGAGCCGGGGGAAGGCAGTTCTGGTTTGCTCTCCATCGTGCTTCAAGCAGTTGTGCTCGCGTCTCAAGCTTCAGGTACCCATCGGGGTGCGTATCAAAGTCTCACCTGGCGCTTTCTTTCGCCAACGTGCTTCTACTTTCCCAGGTCATAGTTTCTGGAGTTCCGATGCTTCGTCGAGCTGCCAGCCTGCCAACCAGTTGGTCCATCAACGAGCCAACCCAATCGACCCGGCTGCGCAGGCAAGCAGAGGAGGGGCGGCCGCAGACGGCGAAGCACTCCGGATAATTTGGTTCTCGATGACTGCCGTGACCGGCAGGTAATCGAAAGTGTCCGTGAACATCTTCCACACGTCCGCGGTGCTGTACGTCTGCATACATTCGTCAAAGAAGCCGTACACCTGTGTGATCTGCCTGCTCTCGTGATTTCCGCGCAGTATCGTGAAGCGCTCCTTCCAGCGCGTCTTGTACAGGAACATGAGCGACACGGTCTTGACCGAATAGTACCCGCGGTCGACGTAATCGCCGAAGAACAAATAATTCGTCTCTGGGGGACTGCCGCCAATACGGAAGAGCTCCTTCAGGTCCAGGAACTGGCCGTGGATGTCCCCGCACACCGTCACAGGGCACCTCACTTTGTGCTCGCTCGGCGTTCCCGACTGGCGAGGGGGGGGCGGGGCTTTTGAGAAAGCTTGCCCA